AAGGCACGTGAGATACAGACCGAAATGTCAGTTAAACCATCTGATCCACTAAATTTTGTGCAGAGCATGAAATAGACCGTTTTGGGCTATTTTTGGGCTTAAGTTGCATCTTAATGCATTATGTGTATTTGAAATGTCATAATATGTTCAGACGGCATTACTGAATTCCATTGCATTCTTCAGCACTGTAATTGCAACAGGAATCTGCAGGAATCATCTCGAGGGTATTTCTTTGATGCTCCCAGAAGTCTGAATTTAACCTCATGTGTGAATCATTTTTTGTAAGATAATGCAAAACAGCGTAAAATGCGGTTTATTAATAAACGATACAAAATATGATATGATTAATCAGGTGATTGATTGACCAATGCAGACGTTCGGTTCCTGTCTCCTGATCGTTCTTCAGCGTAGGAGGTTGGTAGAGTTTCGAAGGCGTTTCTTGTCTGCAGTGATTGGTAGATTCGAAGCTAGCCAGACTGATCATATTTTTCGCTGTGTATTAATAAACCGTGTTTTGTGCTGTTTTTCAGTATGGTCGAAATGATCTTTCTTGCATAATATCCGAAGACTGATTATAAGCACATGCACCAGCAGCATGGGACATAAGCACACGGTTTGGGTCCAAATGTTAACAAGACCTGCAGACCTCAGAAGGAACGTCAAAAGTCAACTCTGTCCACCGCGAAGAAGGCATGTGAAACACGAGGCGAAATATCGGTAATGATTGATCCCCAGATTGACTACTTTGCTTGCGTTGTGCATTAACAAACCACATTTTATAAATTTAAGTGATAATATTCGTTTTTAATTACGGTATAATTGGTTTGCTGAAAATCGCTTAATAGCTTGATTGAGTACAACAAGGAACAAAAACGTAATGCAGTATTGTCGTTGTTAAGCTGGTAGTTATACATGACGACTATGATTCGGTAACGTTCACCGTGAATCGAAAGCCACGGCATTCTAAATGCTTTTTAGTATTTCCAGCTCCAGGCCATTGTTTAAAATATTAGCTAATTCCCTGTGCTGATATCAGTGATTTGCATATGCTAATAAAATTTATTTGATTGCGTTTCTGATATTTTGTTTAACGCCGGTCCTTAGTGTGGGTATCTCAAAATTTCAAGATGGCACCACAGAACTGATGGAGGGCGCGCGTCGTTGCAGCAGATGAAAACTGGATGTTGCCCCTTTTATTTGTCCCTTTTTACCTGTCAGAATTGTATCTTAGGAATTATTTTATCTTAAAGTTATGCACAGTCTCTGAAATTTCGTATGACGATGAAAAGAAATGTTAAACAAAACGAGTCAGGAAATCAGATGACACTGGAATATTTGTTGCCTCGTGGTCATTTTAGGGTTTTAAAACTTTTCAGTAAGACAGGCATATCGTACAATTTCGCTGGACAAAGCAAAAATTAATTTTATAAATGAATGAAAAATTTTATTTTGCACCTTTTTTGATAATCAATAGGAATATCAATATGATTCAGAACAAAGGAGAAACATGACAGTCACATGGAAGGGATGTCGTATTTGCATTAGGAAATGATATATAATAGCTGAAAATATTGAACTGCAGCAAATGTTCTTCGAAAAACTCATCTCATTTACTTAATCCGAGGTGAGAAAAGCAGGCTTGTCTCCCCACCGTCAGATTCATAAACTAAACTGAGCAGCACCAGCAGATGATCGCTTCGGAAGACAGCTGGACTTCGTATTGGTCAAGAGGGAGTGGCGAAACGCGAGATGATTTTGGTTTGAACCACTTCGTGCTGGTCGCTTCGTCATCAACTGGCGACGTTCTGGAGAACAGCGGGAATATATATTCAGAAGGTAGGTTATAGTGATCTACAGGTTACCTTTTCAAAATTTCTCATCATCGACATGTTTGAAACCTCTGGAGACCTACACGTTGCTTTAGTGGTTGCCCAACCAGCTATGTACACGTCGCTTTCGCGATTGCCTTGTCGGCAGCGTCAGTATGCAAACAGCGTAACAGTCGTTTGATAGCAACGTTGTCATCATGAACTGGATCACGCTGTGCTGCATTCTAGTTTTGGTGTTTTCGACGACTAGGGGTAAGTGTAGAGGAGGTAAAGAATCTTAGAAAGTGGAAACAGAAATTTTTTAGTGATCGATTATCTAAATTACATTTTAAATGTGATTTAATAAAGTGTTTTGCTATTTTCACATGTTGATATGATAATATTTTAATTTCGATAAAATTAGCGAATCTGTTGTATTGTGCGATAATGGACATTTTATTTTTGAGAGAAGCCCGTTCAGCTGAGGGACTCATTGCACTAAAAATTTATTTCCTTAAAAATAATCAACGGGGGACATTAATTTGAGTCTCATGATTACCGGTGCATCTCAACTATTCATCGTAGGAAAAATTGAAGCATAAATGATGATCATAATACGGGAACGCCATCGTGCCCTTGGTCACTGGATGAAAAGGACAAAACACCAGCGACGCATGCAAAAATATCTCCTCGAAGGCAAACATTTAAAATCTGTCATATTAATCGATACTGCCAACTTACTGAGGACAACGTTTGCTCTGAAATCGTTATTCTGCCATACGAAGCTTGTGAAATAGTGATGATTGCACCCATCATTTAATCAGTACTTCTAAAGTTTTGTTTTACTACTCTTTTGTTTCCTCACCAATGTAAAGAGGTTACTCTTCTGATCTGTTCCCTACTCGTCTGTACCATTTTCTAGGTTTTCGCATCAATCATAATTTATCCAAAGAATATTCTTGCGATATACATGGTGATAATAAAGGAGGTATCGATTCGTCGCCTTT